AGTACCTCAGAACCTTGAAGTGCGGTTGACAGACAAGTTGAAAGACATCATCACCATGCTCACGGAGTCATTCAAATTTCAGGTAGGGTTTTGTATGTGACGTTGGTTGTCTGTTTTATGAATGCTACAAGATGTTTTAGATTCTTAGAATTCATATTGGGGGAATAGTAGAGAGTCTTGGGTTAAATTCTTAAGTATATTTTCTTTTTTCCTCTCTCTATTTTTTTTACTTATATCATCAAATATTTCCTTTTTAAATTCTACTGTTGCCCAAAAATATGCATGGTTAGGACTAGTAACAAAATGTTCCAATGAGAAAATTCTGCTCATATATGTCATAGTTCATTTCTTTTATCTTTAATGAAGGAAGTAGCATTGTAGAATGAAGGAATGAGATTATTATTTTTTTTTTAATGATACTGTGTTTTGGAAGTATTAACTAAAATGCTGAAAGGCTTAAATCTAGTGTTTGTTGAAACTTGGTGTCATGTACTATGTATGGTTATAGTATGAAGCCTTAGTAGCATAAATTCCTGCTAAAACACTCAGCTACAAAGTTCACATGATAAAAGAGTTATGATGATGAAGACTGTGACTCTCAGCATGGCCAATCAGATGCCACGAGTTAAGATTAAAATCTCAGTTTTTAAAAACTTTATGAATGTTTCCAACATCCCAAAAGCCAATGTACTCTTGAAGCAATTTATGTGCAGTTTATGAGTTTGTTCATCATGTCACTTACAAAGCCGTTCCAATTGAATTTTAGATGAAAAGTCCTGGACTCCAAGCAATGGTTGATGGAAGGACAAAATCACTGTATCTACATTCTCCTGCATCAATTGAAGAAAAGTTAAGACCTAACTTGAAGAAGACCATTGAAGGTATGGTATTACTGGCTCTGCTTTTTTTGTAGCTGAAAGTCAGGGTAAGTCCAATATAAACTGAGAATTAATGATGATTATTGGCTGTTTAAAATATGTAGTGAAAAATGGCAAAGTAATACCTTAGAGTTCAAGAAGGAAACCATTTTGGCATTTCAAAGTATATTAGTCTTTTTGTGTAAACTTTTAAGTAAAGCCAAAGGTATCCAAATTGTGTGTGTAGGATTTTTAGAAATCATTACAAAAGGCACTTAATTATTTCTATACTGTTATATGCCCTCATATTATGTAACAGGTAGTCGTTGATAATGGCTCTTTTATATTGTAATCTTCTAATTATATATTACATACAGTCAGATGATAGACTTTGTTCATCTGATTAACAAAGTCAATGGGAGTGAAACTTTTAGTACACAGTAGTTTGCCAAAAATTCCATCACAGTCAGCCACATAGTTTAGTAGTTAGAAAAGAAACAGAATCTTTGTTTACTGTGAATACAAGTGGAGTATTAGACTGCTTAACAAGAGATTAGATTTTGTGTTTTTGTGATAAGAAAACCCTGTGCATTTATCTCTGTGAATAATGGAAGACTTGCCTTCTGATACTGATATCTCGAGTATGCTATAATACTGTGCAGCTTTATAACGGTTCATACAGGCTATTAAAATCTAATAGTCTCTTGTTTGTAAGATTGTAATTGCATATATATATAAACATAGATTTCTTTATTTTTTATTGCAGAGTTGGGCCTGGCAGATGGAATGGAAATAGCAGTGGCAGATGTTACTAGTCCAACCACGATACTTTTCAAGTTGAAGATAATAGAATAGATAAGTCTATTAAGTAATTAACAGCATTTTAAATGGTCACACTTGCTTTTGAAATTTTATGGAATCATTTTCTGTGAGAGGCCTTCGGCATAGATGTGTCATTTATTTTGAATTTAGATTATGGAAGACTTAATATAATTTTTTTTTGTCATATCTGATATAAAATTCTATTAAAAAACTAATTTGTTTGTCACAGAGAAAACAAGGCTTAGTGCATTATATGTAATGGATATTATAACACTTGAATAAAACTACCTACTTATACTGAAGTTTTTATTGTGCAAGCTGAAAATACATGAAAATATTAAATAAAAATAGATCTTTATAATAAACCTCTTTCTTATTGTTGGTATAATGGACGGTTATGGACGGATTCAATTACACCAGCAGAAAGCATCGGCAGAAAAGAAAAACAGTTAAATAACAACTACATATCTGTTTACATTATGTGATGAACTGACAGCCAGGAATGTGTGGTTGCATAAAATGGCACAGAAAATAGAAAAAAAGCAAAATAATTATAACATTTGCTTTAAATACACAATACAATGAATGAACACACTATGAGGTACTTTTACTGTTACATTTCAAAATACAACATTTACAATGTACCTGTAAGCTTCAAAATTCATAAGGATCATACTGAACCATGTGGCCCATTGGCACCAAATAGATGTACTCTTCACAGTTGTTTTGTTTTGTGAATGTTTTTTTTAAACATAAGTGGCTCCACAAGTGCTCAGTTACCAAGAAATTCTGTGACTTCAACTGACAAAAATATTTTCCTAATGATATTAATAAATAATAAATTATTATTATCATTATCATTATCATTATTATTATTATTACTGAGATTATGATTATCATAATGTTATTTAAATATGTATCATAAATAAAACATAAAAACAGCTTTTCTGTAAATCACAGGTAGGACTCGTACTTGACTACTTGGTAACTAAGCTTTTGTGGAACCATTCATATGTAAACAAAATGAATACACTAAAATCACAGTGATCATGGCATATTTGTACATGTTATCCTGAAATGAATGGCTTAAATTATTTTGTAAACTGTAACAGAAATATATTCACTCAACAGGGCAATTCCCTTTTAAATGAATGGTACAAAATGCCACTACAGTTACCTGGGAATGAAGCAATCAGTTTAAATAGTTCAAATACCAATTAACAAGATTACAGGTACAAAGAAAACAATGATATGACCATCCTAATATGTGATACACCTGAATTTTGGATTTTTTAAAAACTAATTCATTAATTTATTCTGCATTTTGGCAACTTGGGAAAGAAATAATTGCCAGTGCATGTATGTACTTGTTTTTAAAAATATACGTCTTTCTTTTCATCTCTTTCCTTTCACGGACAGTTACTGGCTGCAAATTTTCCCTTATGTTATGCCTTTTCCTCAAACATTTCATCCAGCAAAACCAAAGAGATACTTCACTTTAGTGTACCAACCAAAGAAGTCTCAGCAAACAACAAAATAAAGATTACAAAAGAACTTCAACCTTTTGCAATTGATAGCTTTACACAAAAGAAAAAAAGTGACTAGAACATCAATACACTCAATACTGTTGCAATGTGGACCTACTGCAAGTCCATACGTAAAGTAGCTTTGCATACTAACATTATATTTCTAAGGAATGTGTGCTTGTCATGATAAAAAAGAAAAGTAAACACTGTCTATCTTTATAAAACCTCAATTATTTTTTGTTAGCTATGCTGATAAATAAAACTGTCAATAACAGTGTAAGTGACAGACAGAGACACATTTTTATTAATATTATTATTAATATTATTATTAATATTATTATTAATATTATTATTAATATTATTATTAATATTATTATTAATATTATTATTAATATTATTATTAATATTATTATTAATATTATTATTAATATTATTATTAATATTATTATTAATATTATTATTAATATTATTATTAATATTATTATTAATATTATTATTAATATTATTATTAATATTATTATTAATATTATTATTAATATTATTATTAATATTATTATTAATATTATTATTAATATTATTATTAATATTATTATTAATATTATTATTAATATTATTATTAATATTATTATTAATATTATTATTAATATTATTATTAATATTATTATTAATATTATTATTAATATTATTATTAATATTATTATTAATATTATTATTAATATTATTATTAATATTATTATTAATATTATTATTAATATTATTATTAATATTATTATTAATATTATTATTAATATTATTATTAATATTATTATTAATATTATTATTAATATTATTATTAATATTATTATTAATATTATTATTAATATTATTATTAATATTATTATTAATATTATTATTAATATTATTATTAATATTATTATTAATATTATTATTAATATTATTATTAATATTATTATTAATATTATTATTAATATTATTATTAATATTATTATTAATATTATTATTAATATTATTATTAATATTATTATTAATATTATTATTAATATTATTATTAATATTATTATTAATATTATTATTAATATTATTATTAATATTATTATTAATATTATTATTAATATTATTATTAATATTATTATTAATATTATTATTAATATTATTATTAATATTATTATTAATATTATTATTAATATTATTATTAATATTATTATTAATATTATTATTAATATTATTATTAATATTATTATTAATATTATTATTAATATTATTATTAATATTATTATTAATATTATTATTAATATTATTATTAATATTATTATTAATATTATTATTAATATTATTATTAATATTATTATTAATATTATTATTAATATTATTATTAATATTATTATTAATATTATTATTAATATTATTATTAATATTATTATTAATATTATTATTAATATTTTTATTAATATTATTATTAATATTATTATTAATATTATTATTAATATTATTATTAATATTATTATTAATATTATTATTAATATTATTATCAATATTATTATTAATATTATTATTAATATTATTATTAATATTATTATTAATATTATTATTAATATTATTATTGATATTATTATTCATATTATTATTAATATTATTATTAATATTATTATTAATATTATTATTAATATTATTATTAATATTATTATTAATATTATTATTAATATTATTATTAATATTATTATTAATATTATTATTAATATTATTATTAATATTATTATTAATATTATTATTAATATTATTATTATTATTACTGAGATTATGATTATCATAATGTTATTTAAATATGTATCATAAATAAAACATAAAAACAGCTTTTCTGTAAATCACAGGTAGGACCGGTACTTGACTACTTGGTAACTAAGCTTTTGTGGAACCATTCATATGTAAACAAAATGAATACACTAAAATCACAGTGGTCATGGCATATATGTACATGTTATCCTGAAATGAATGGCTTAAATTATTTTGTAAATTGTAACCGAAATATATTCACTCAACAGGGCAATTCTGTTTTAAATGAATGGTACAAAATGCCACTACAGTTACCTGGGAATGAAGCAATCAGTTTAAATAGTTCAAATACCAATTAACAAGATTACAGGTACAAAGAAAACAATGATATGACCATCCTAATATGTGATACACCTGAATTTTGGATTTTTTAAAAACTAATTCATTAATTTATTCTGCATTTTGGCAACTTGGGAAAGAAATAATTGCCAGTGCATGTATGTACTTGTTTTTAAAAATATACGTCTTTCTTTTCATCTCTTTCCTTTCACGGACAGTTACTGGCTGCAAATTTTCCCTTATGTTATGCCTTTTCCTCAAACATTTCATCCAGCAAAACCAAAGAGATACTTCACTTTAGTGTACCAACCAAAGAAGTCTCAGCAAACAACAAAATAAAGATTACAAAAGAACTTCAACCTTTTGCAATTGATAAATTTCCACAAAAGAAAAAAAGAGAGAGATAAAACTCATGCTTTGCCTAACGGTTCATATTATTTCCAAAGTTCTCCTTAATTTGATTTGTCAACCATTCCACACCCTCATGAAGGCCTTCTCCAGTAATGGCATTTGAAGCAGTAATGTGCCAGGGCTTGTCAGAGATGCGCTCTAGACCCAAGGCTGCTGAGACTTTCACACTACTCACAGCATCTCGCATGTCCATCTTGTTGGCAAAGAAGAGTATTGGTATCCTACGGTGACGGATCTGTTGGTGGAGATTCAAGATTCAAATACCTAATCTTAACAGAGGTAAATAGAAAGAACAACATGCAATTTCTAAATATTTACAATCTTTATCCATGTTCCTATCATAAAGTTAATCCTTGTCCATAGCTGAACTGCTCACACAAACCTCTGCATGCTGAAGCAACATGTCGAGCTCATCCTTGGCAACAACTAGCCGCAGCTTGTCACTGGAATCCACCACAAATATGACACCTTGACAGTCATGGTAGTAATGTTCCCACAGACTCCTGTAGCGTCCTTGACCTGACATATCAAATGCTGTGAAACCCACATTTTTTGCTGGAAAAAGAGAACAATCAGCTCAAAATATATCGCACAGAACAAACACAAAGAAACACTTACTGCATTGACTGAGTCTTGACATCGCTTCCTTACAACAGACTCTAAATGATAAAAAGTTGGTCTTAATGTCTCTTTATTTGTTTGCATGACCCTAGAAGCTATTGGTTCTGTTATCTACAACAAAAGCTACCTCTCTGACTGTTTAGTTCTACTTGTCTCATACAATTTCTCAGTATAGATAAATCTGAAGATGAATAAAGTTTACACAAACAAGCATTGCTATCAGCTTTATACTTGTCATAAAGGAGTTTATTTGCAATGAATGATATTTACAGTTAGATTGTTGGCAAAATCTACATAGTGATAAAATTAGTTTGCATATTTCAAAAATAGTTTTGAAAAGTATATATTAGAAAATCCTTTTTATTAATGTCTTATGGAACTTGAGAGATCAAAAATAATTCTTGGAGAATTAATACTTCTTTCTTACTGTGAACATAAAGATAAAAAGACAAGTATGTGTGCTTCCCTGTGCCATACTTTTTACACAATATAACAAATTGAATATCATCTGTTTGATTATTACAAGAAAAATTTGCCACAATTAAATAAAAAATTGTGATGAGAAACAGACTTCATACTAGCACTAGTTTCGTCTGGAAACTTTCAACTGAACTAGTTTTGTTTGACAAAGTTAACCGTAAAAATCATAAATGTTAACTTCATATGCACTGGGTTTTAATGGGACTTGGCAACTGATATGAGAACTTTTTTATAATAAGTTTTTTCTTTTTCTCTTTTAGATAAGATGTCTCACATATTTTTTAAATCTAATTATCAAAAAGGTATTTTTCTGTTTATCTATGTATTTTTTTAAAATCAAAAGCATGCATATGCATATATATTCAGTCAGGTCCCATGCATGACACTGCTACTTTTATGCAATTCCAAACATTTCAAGGATTTAGGTATGCCAACTGTCCCTTTGGCAACTTTACATGCAAATTATAAAAACAAATATCATAATTAACCAAATTTAAAAAATTCAAATAAGTCCCAGCAAAATGAATCTAGAAATAAAAAAGAGGCAAGCTAACAATTTTTTAAATTTTTTTATCAGCGTGTATGAAACTTACTCTTGAACTTTTCCACATTGAACCCCACCGTAGGGACGATATCTGTTGTCTTCTGGTCTTCTGTTTTGAAATGGTTCAGCATGGTTGATTTGCCTGAGTTATCCAGGCCAATGACCAATACACTGGCTTCACGTTTCTTAAGGCCGAGGAAAAATGCTAGCCTGTCAAACATTCCCATTGCACTGAATTCGGGAAGCTGTGTGAAGGTGACGGCTACAGCTCTAATAGGACAAAGTATAATGTGTAGAGATTTTCTTAGATAGTATTCCTCACACTTGATAATAAAAGTTCTACTGATAGTATCTTATTTCACATTAAATTTCTTTTTTTCTACACAAATTGCCTTATTTCCTTTAGGTCACTGATTTTCTAAAAGCCTGTAAAGTCAAAGAAAGACAACATTAATCATCATTCAGTAAAAACTATAAGTAAATGTAAAAAAAACACACATACACATACACACACACACACACACACACACACACACACACACACACACACACACACACACACACATACATATATGAACCATATTCATGATGACAAATATAGAAAAGGTATGAATGAGAGTGAATATCTTCACAATACAAAAGTTATATTTGGCCGGTTTTGATTATATTTTTGTCAGAAATACAAATAAATCTCTTGTCTTGTGAAGATATTCACTCTGATTCATACATTTTCTATATACTACATACATACATTATATAATGTGCTTTAACAAACAGTAAATAATTTTTCATTGACATTTCACTTTAGCATGTGGTGCTAGTATCAGTTCAGATATCAGAATATGTTAAATAAATTAATCAACATCATACTCTTTTTTGCAGTATATTTGACACCTTCCCTTTACAATATATCTGCACGTCCACCACTGACTAACTCAGATACATGAACGGTCTACAGTAGCTTTGTTTTGTCAATTTTCTGTTAAAAGCTTAGTCCCATCAAGGAATAATGTAACCAGGTGAGATCTGGTAGGCTTACTATCTGACTTATTGAACTCAGATTTCATCAGCCTGACACCACTCCACTTAGTCATAGGTAAGGACAATATATTGATAAAATAACACATAAATCATCCTTAACATTTCATTACGTTTGTAGTAAAGCCTTTAACATATTTACATCATTATATGTATCTCAAGTGTTCAAATTTCCTTAATCTGATTAATCAATAATGACAATGAAGACTTGATACATTCCCAGATATGACTCATAGTAAACAAGCTCCCTCAGTCTGGCCAGTTTCATTGTTTACACAGAAAGATGTCAAGAAATTTAAATCTATTCAGATGCCAAACAACAATGTTTTATTTCCCAAGTTTATCTCAAAGGCACCAGATATATGGATGAAAAGGTCGCTTCAAGAGTGGGAATCATAAACAACTATGTCTCTTTAGATGTATATTTCAAATACTCTTTTTTTCTAAGTGTCTTTAAAATATATGGCATATGACGCACCATGAAAACATACACGCAATTACACGACCAACGAATTTATCTTAAATCAATGATCAATCACATTAACACGAGTCCAGTCGAAACTCCTTTACTACACGTGACGTAACTGTCCTACCCTTATGAAAAAACCCACTCCCCTTCCCTCTACCACCAAAATCAAGAGAAAATACCACCAAACCGAAGAACCAAAGGCGAATCGTCCCACAAAATAGGGTGGGGAGCGAGGACGGACCCTGAGACGGAGTCTTTCTTCTTTTATAGGATTTTAGACTATTGTCTAGTTTATATCCCTTGGATCTATTTTCTTTCGTCTTTCTTTTCTTTATATTATTCCTATTAGTTTCGTTTTCTTTAGGAATATTTTTGTGTGTCTTCAAATGTAGTAGTGCCTACTCTGCGATGGCGTCTTCTGGCATGTAAACAAACCCAGCTGGAGGCCGAGATCCGCGGGGCTAACACGTTTCCCCAATCCTGAAATATTAAAAAAAAACCTCCTAACATACCTTCTAAAACTCTATCTATAAAACAAGCGATATAAACCAGGTCGATCGGAATCGATAACAAGAGATAAATAATAGTCGTGTGCAGATGCATTGCCGATAAGAAAAAAAAAATTGGTGTCGCGGTCTCGATGCTCAGCTCTCCGAGTGTTGAAAATGGAGGAGGATTCTCAGAACCAAGGTGAGGCCTTATTTCTCGCTCCCGCTCCTTCCCCGGGACGAAATCCGAGGAGCTGCGGTCGGCTCGGGACTCGGGAGGACGGCAGGTCAAGGTGTCACTCGAGGAACAGCCCCCAAAACCGGGTTCAAGTGCGAGAAAAGGCGAACATTCCTTGGCAACCTTGACTTGTTTTTTTCTCGCAGGGATCATACGGGGAAAATTACGATAGATATTAAAGTGTTTTTTTGCTGAACATTTTTTATATTTTGTTTGGGTGTTGTTTGGCGACCCTCGAGGACGGTTTGGGAGCTGCCAATCGCCCTCCGGTGCCGAGGGTAAGGTGCTGAGGGGCAGGTGTTCTGGGGAGGAAAAATACGTGTTTGGTTCAAGTAGCTTCTGAAGTTTTATCTTTTCTGGCTTTGGATTGAGCCTTTCCGACGCGAAAATAATCCATTATTGCTCGAAAGACCTATTAGATTAAATGTTATCTTAATTTAATTTAATTAGAGAATTGGTTGATAAATAGGTAGTAGGGAGGTGAGTAATAAATAAGGAAAACATACAAAATTATATTCATAGGTTAATGACAAGCAAAATGTTATTTCAATACAAAAACGTAACACAAAGTAACGTAATCCATAATAATCCTGTGATATCAGTATATTCATACATGCGATTAAGCACCAGCCATATAGATTAGATTATGCAGATGTTACTAGTTCATTTTTTAAGGGTTTTGTTTGTGGTCACTTGTTTTAGTAGTATTAAGTAGACAAGTTTATATTTGTGGGGTTTAGCTTCATGTATGTTAGTCCAAGTTAGCTAAACCTTGTTAGCTAAAGAGAACTGTATAGTTTTGTACGTTGAGAGTTTTTAAGTGATCAGTAAAAGAGGGAAAATATCAGTGTTTTTGTATATTTGCAGATTTGCCTAATGGAAATTTCAGTAATAATCAAAGATGATGATTTCAGAAACTAGCAGTCTCATTTGCTTATGAAATTCTGCTGCAATGATTTAAAGATTTGCTTTTTGGCTTTGCATTGACTGTCTAATAAGTATTTGATCTGTTTATTTGTAATAGGGTTTTGATAAGTCTTACCTTTTTTATTATGTGATAAGTTAAGTTAGCTTTTGGAATTGTCAAAATCTGGGATTGTAAAATACCATTTTTGTTTTTCTAATTCACAAAGTTCTGCAGTTCATTTTGATCTCCCAAAATGTATATATACGTATAAGATAAGTAATGAATTGAAGATAAAATGTCAAAAGAGGATAAAGAGGAATAAAAATCATTTACAAATTAAATCTTTGAAGGGAACTCTTCAATATGTATTAGTGGGTTTTATTAATTTTGAAGATATTCTTCAATCTTTGCATATTCATCTCCAGATATTTACAAAATACTGTTGCACAACTGTAATTTAGATGTAAATCCTTTTGAAAGATACTGACTTTGCAATTTTCTGATGTGTCACTATCAGGGCTTATGTACCTGTGTTATAGATGTTTATGAATATGTATATACATGCTTTTTATTTTGGTGGTGGTGGTGGGGGGGGGGGATTAAAATATGGTTGATCAGGTTAGTACAAATAACAGGCAGTGATTCCTTACAGATAGTATAAATATGAAAAAAAAAAAATTGCCAACACACAATTTAATAATAATGGTGTTAAAGTTATGTACATATAGAAAAATGTTGCTGATAAGTTAAAAAGAGTAAATAAAAGTTCTGTCATGACGTCAGGGCCAGCAGATGGATGGGGATTCCCCAGGATGAGCAGATAAAGTGCATGTGTAGGAGTGAATGTTTATCAGCAGTGACAGTACGATAAAATTTTCAAATCTTTACAAAATATGGATCTACCATTAGGCTAAGTTAGGTTATATAATACTAACCAAAACTAATTTAATTGAACCTACTCTAACCTATATCCTGATTTGACCTACACAGAGAGGACCTATCCTATGTAAATCTGATATAGCCTAATCTAACACATCCTAACCTAATGTATCCTAGCCTATTCTGACCAACAGTGAATCAGAGTACTGTATCACTTGCCACAACAACAGATATCAAATGCTGCAGTTTCCGTTCACCAAATCCTTGCATGACTAGAGAAATCTTGAGCAGCCCACCCAATAAATCATTTGTGCTTGTGTTCTGTTCATTGTTAGCATAAAAAAAACAGATAAACAAAGACAGTGCAGTCTGGTTGAGCTTCATATTTCCGAGACTTAATCATAAATGCCAAAAAGAGTGAATGAAGATAATGATGATGATGCAAGAAATAAGGGTACTTTGTAATATGTCATGGTGATAGTGAAGAATGATATATCGGGGAAATAGATAATGAACCTTGGGAAATGAAGTAGAAAATGAGAAGTGATGATTGGTAATGGTAAATGGTTGTGACATGTGATAAATGTTGATAAATAGCAATATTTTCAAATACTGATTGGTGGTGATTATGAATAATAGTAACAATCTACCATGATACTTCTCTTGTGGAAAAATGTTGTGTGACTTACAAAATTGATTTCAACCTCACCAGTTGCATAATGTGATTAGCATATTCACCTGGTGGGTCCTGAGGCTTTCTGTAAGGCCAGAAGTGTAAATTGTTGCTAGTCAGATTGAGTAATTAGGAGTAAACGCATTGCAAAACCTAATGTCAGTGGACAGTTTGACAAATTGTTGTTGTTGTTGTTATTGTTAATATTATTATTATTGTTATTATTATTGTTATTGTTATTATTATTGTTATTGTTATTATTATTGTTGTTATTATTATTATTATTATTATTATTATTATTATTATTATTATTATTATTATTATTATTATTATTATTATTATTATTATTATTATTATCATCATCATCCTTCTCATTATCATTACTATTATTGTTATTAATATTATTATTATTATTTATTTGTCCTCATTATTACCAATATCATTGTCAGTTGTTTGTGACAGAAACAGGATAAATAGTCTTTTTTTTTTAAGAAATGCTTTACAAATATTAATGTTCCATAATTTTATTGGTAGTGTTTTAATAATAGTTTTACTTAATTATCAGCTGTTGAACAGAAAAGATAAATGGATAAATACCAGAAAATATGATAGTGAACAAATATAGATTAAAAGGAAGTTATGTATTGTACTATGTAGTGAAATGGTTTAAAACATAATTTTTTTTTCTTAATTAAAAAATATTGCAAATAGCTAAGAGTTGCCATGTGTATGTTAATAATGACACAGGTCCACAAGTTTATAGAAAACGTGTTACCATACATAAATTTTAATGTACAAGTAACCACTGGCTTTTAAACTCCTTAAGAAGTAAAAATTCCTCATAAATATGCAAAGTAAAATGGCTTAAATAGATTATATAAATTAGACTATTTAAATCTCCCATTACTCATAGTAAGAAGTTTCAAGGAAAGCCTTGAAGAAACTTCCTTTCTCAGGGGTTCTTAGAAAATATATATGGCTGTTGTTTTTGACAGATGTTATTCAGATAATGTGAAATGAATGACCTTATAATTAGTGTATGGTTAGGTAACTGGGATTGGTATACAATTCATCTTGGAAATTAAATGGTGTAAAAACATAAAACTTGTATAAAATATGTTAATTAGATTCATTGCCAGATACACCACAGGGTATTTTCCTTTGGCAGAGGCCCAGAGAATCATGACTAAGTATGTAGGCCTCCCTTGGAAGATTTTAACCTTGCATTTTTTTTAAGAGTTATGTATTTGATAAGTTGTTAGTAAAATCTAGAGAGAGAGAGAGGGGGGGGGGGATACATATTTAGGTACAGAGAATTGTGGATTCAAGTTGCAAAAGTTGTTAATACTGATATTAATGTTAATGTTATTGATATTATTAATATTATTAATGATATTTTATTAGTATTATTATTATGATTATGATTGTGATTATAATTATAATTGCTCTATATAAAATAGTGTATAAATAATATGATTAAGTTCATATATTAGTTAAAAGTGTTTCTCTAACTAGAACATTTAGAATTTATAAAATTATAATCATTTTGTTGTTGGTGGAAAAACCATTCTTGCCCTATTAAAATCAGGGAATGTATTTCTGAAAAAAAACAAAAAAACTGAACAGTATTTTTTAGAGAAATTGTGATCTGTGTTATATATTTAGGCAATAGTCTGCCTTGTGATAGATTTATACATGTTAATGGGTAAATTCTTTTGCAGTATACTCACCAGACATGCCCAAGAGATTACCCATAGCAGACATCCTCGCTGGATTAGCACGCAGCATGGGCACAGCCATCCGTTACTGGCTGCACTACACATTGGTTGCTGTGGCATGGCTTGGGGTTGTGCCACTGACAGCCTGCAGAATATATCGTTGCCTCTTCACTGGCTCTGTTTCCTCTGTGCTCACACTACCACTTGACATGCTTTCAACGTGAGTTTTGCCTTTTTATGCAAGGTCATTGTTTACTGTGTTTGGTATGTTGATGGTGTGTGGGAAATGAAATAACACTTTTTTGAAGGGAATTGAAATAATGCTTTTTGAAGGGAAATGAAATAACACTTTTTGCACATTTTTTTTCTATTCACAGGGACAACTTAGTGTCAGATATCTTCCATGGGTGCTTTGTTGTGACATGCACACTAAGTGCTTTCATCAGTCTGGTCTGGTTGCGGGAACAGATCCTCCACGGGGGAGGGCCAGACTGGCTAGATCAAGAAATACAGCATGAGGTAAGTTTCTTTATGAGGAAGGTTGAGTTCCATCTTCTTTGACAGAGTATGTGGGAATATGTAATGTCCATTGTGGATTTTATTGGATTCTGTCAATTGGCAGCCCAGTGTGACTGCATCTAACTTCTTTGAATAACTTTTTTTAATGCTGTTAACCCAGTCAGCATGTATGACTAGAATACATGCCATGTCCCCTGTGATATAAGTTTATTTATTGTATTTACACGTAGATAGCTGTACAATTGCATAGCCACCAAGGAGTCAGTTATAAGTCCTATCTATCTCACCTGTTTATCCTTTTCCTTGATTTTTGGAAAGGTTCTTTTGTATTATTTCATTGTCTTAGATGTTACCAAGATTTTGATAACAATTTAGTAATCATGATATCAATAATAATAATAACAGTACTGATATCATTTGTATTAAAAAGAAGAACACATTTTCCAGCCAATTCAAGGAATTTGAAAATCAGGATCGTCACTAGGGCCTACTGATAGACTCCTTACCGGATGAGCACATGTGGAGCCATCTGGCATACTGTTGAGTGATATTGGTTGAGGGTGGAAAAAGAAAGAACACCTTAAAAATACTTTATATAGATCTCTTAGAGCAAATTAAGAATGTGATAAGAATGAAAATGCCCAAATGACAAATGAGTTCACTGGCATTGCTTGGAGATACACCATAACCTAGTATCTTTGTAGGCAGCATAAATGATGCACATGTATATTGTAAGGAGAGTAAAAACTGACCCTGTGATATCAACATAACTACAACAGTACTTTGGGCATGTAGTTCTTAACCTTGAAGGCAATACGGTTGTGATGATTCATCCATGGATATCACAAAGATTGAACAAGTGTATGGAAGTGTCTGGCATCAATTATGAACAAGGCAATTAAAACCTTTGGAGTGATTATAGACCCCTTTGGCTTCTACACCATTAAGAACATTATGCAATTCTGCAATATTTTAGGCAACATCCATGCAGTGGTGAAAGGAAGAGACTTAATTCTGTTTTTTTCCAGCATGAGCCTCCTGGAAATTTTGGAGCTATCAATCAAGTGAATGGACAAATTCCAGTGCCAGCAGCCAATGAAAATGTTGCACCACAGCAGCAGGAAGTGGCCAATGACAACCTGGACATCAATGATGATCCAGCAAATCAAGAGCTGGCTCCTGTCCCAGCAAATCAAAATATAGGAGAAGGTAGGGACTGGATGATTTCAGATTTTATTGAGCACTGTTATCATTATTGTTATTCTTGTCATCTCTTGCTCTTGTTATTGCTGTTGTTGTTGTTGTTGTTGTTGTGTTGTTGTTGTTGTTGTTGTTGTTATTATTATTATTTATTATTATTATTAGTATTATTATTATTATTAATCTTTGTAAATATATTCTCATGGTCTGAGTAAGTCATTTAGGTACCTTGTCTCATACTTCAAAACCCAAGTATTCAGTGTGTAATATTTGTCTGAGGCGAGATGCATGTACCCTCCAGGAAGTATGTGGGTTAGGCTTTCCTGGGTAGATGAGCGTTAGTTTGTCTGATGGAAATTTAACGACGGGTAGGGAAGATTTATGGTAAGTAAAAAGGACGCTTATGTTTATATATTATTTCGCATACAATAACTTTGAAGGGATTTTAGTTACTGTCTAGATTGCATATGATATTCCTTTATGTGTATGATATACAGTAAAAACTATTATCACATGAAATAGATATATGTATTTTAAATAAAAGAAAGGGATGGGGAATGTATTTTTGGGTGGGAGAATATAGACTTTTTATTATTATTATTATTTTAGGGGGGAATACTAAAATAGATTGACTGATATAGATGGTCTTTTGTGATCTGTGTTATATATTTAGGCAATAGTCTGCCTTGTGATAGATTTATACATGTTAATGGGTAAATTCTTTTGCAGTATACTCACCAGACATGCCCAAGAGATTACCCATAGCAGACATCCTCGCTGGATTAGCACGCAGCATGGGCACAGCCATCCGTTACTGGCTGCACTACACATTGGTTGCTGTGGCATGGCTTGGGGTTGTGCCACTGACAGCCTGCAGAATATATCGTTGCCTCTTCACTGGCTCTGTTTCCTCTGTGCTCACACTACCACTTGACATGCTTTCAACGTGAGTTTTGCCTTTTTATGCAAGGTCATTGTTTACTGTGTTTGGTATGTTGATGGTGTGTGGGAAATGAAATAACACTTTTTTGAAGGGAATTGAAATAATGCTTTTTGAAGGGAAATGAAATAACACTTTTTGCACATTTTTTTTCTATTCACAGGGACAACTTAGTGTCAGATATCTTCCATGGGTGCTTTGTTGTGACATGCACACTAAGTGCTTTCATCAGTCTGGTCTGGTTGCGGGAACAGATCCTCCACGGGGGAGGGCCAGACTGGCTAGATCAAGAAATACAGCATGAGGTAAGTTTCTTTATGAGGAAGGTTGAGTTCCATCTTCTTTGACAGAGTATGTGGGAATATGTAATGTCCATTGTGGATTTTATTGGATTCTGTCAATTGGCAGCCCAGTGTGACTGCATCTAACTTCTTTGAATAACTTTTTTTAATGCTGTTAACCCAGTCAGCATGTATGACTAGAATACATGCCATGTCCCCTGTGATATAAGTTTATTTATTGTATTTACACGTAGATAGCTGTACAATTGCATAGCCACCAAGGAGTCAGTTATAAGTCCTATCTATCTCACCTGTTTATCCTTTTCCTTGATTTTTGGAAAGGTTCTTTTGTATTATTTCATTGTCTTAGATGTTACCAAGATTTTGATAACAATTTAGTAATCATGATATCAATAATAATAATAACAGTACTGATATCATTTGTATTAAAAAGAAGAACACATTTTCCAGCCAATTCAAGGAATTTGAAAATCAGGATCGTCACTAGGGCCTACTGATAGACTCCTTACCGGATGAGCACATGTGGAGCCATCTGGCATACTGTTGAGTGATATTGGTTGAGGGTGGAAAAAGAAAGAACACCTTAAAAATACTTTATATAGATCTCTTAGAGCAAATTAAGAATGTGATAAGAATGAAAATGCCCAAATGACAAATGAGTTCACTGGCATTGCTTGGAGATACACCATAACCTAGTATCTTTGTAGGCAGCATAAATGATGCACATGTATATTGTAAGGAGAGTAAAAACTGACCCTGTGATATCAACATAACTACAACAGTACTTTGGGCATGTAGTTCTTAACCTTGAAGGCAATACGGTTGTGATGATTCATCCATGGATATCACAAAGATTGAACAAGTGTATGGGAGTGTCTGGCATCAATTATGAACAAGGCAATTAAAACCTTTGGAGTGATTATAGACCCCTTTGGCTTCTACACCATTAAGGACATTATGCAATTCTGCAATATTTTAGGCAACATCCATGCAGTGGTGAAAGGAAGGGACTTAATTCTGTCTTTTTCCAGCATGAGCCTCCTGGAAATTTTGGAGCTATCAATCAAGTGAATGGACAAATTCCAGTGCCAGCAGCCAATGAAAATGTTGCACCACAGCAGCAGGAAGTGGCCAATGACAACCTGGACATCAATGATGATCCAGCAAATCAAGAGCTGGCTCCTGTCCCAGCAAATCAAAATATAGGAGAAGGTAGGGACTGGATGATTTCAGATTTTATTGAGCACTGTTATCATTATTGTTATTCTTGTCATCTCTTGCTCTTGTTATTGCTGTTGGGTCCAAGCATTGTCGTATTGATGAAGCTTTGGGTTATAAAGAAACTTCATTCATATAAAGTAATTTACACTCCTTTTTCAATCTGAAGGCCTATTTATCTAAGAGTGAATTTCATCCATAATACTTGTGGAGGATTCATGCTGAGCAAATTGTAAATAAACTAGTAAAGGGGAAATCATATCATTTGTATGTTTTTCTATTCTTTCCTTGTTATTGGCCTTTGCAATTGAGAAAAGCAAACCTACCGTACAAAAGTCCATAACTGCATGACTGCCTTTTCAATCAGGAGGCGAGGGTGAGATCCTTCATGAGGGAGCTCCGGGCAACAACAACCTCGACCCGGGAGCTGCAGCAGACGACCTGAACTGGAACCCCATTGAGTGGGACCGGGCAGCCGAGGAGCTCACGTGGGAGCGTCTCCTGGGTCTGGACGGCTCGCTCGTGTTTCTGGAGCACGTGTTTTGGGTCGTCTCCCTCAACACTATGTTCATACTGGTCTTTGGTGAGTAGGTTGGTTTTTGTCATTTGATTATTATTGGTTTTCTTGATTTCTTAATGGTTATTGTTTTAATTTTCTTACTTTTTAAACCTATAGATTTTTGTTAATGTAAAGACTGCTGATCCAATATTTTAGGAGAGCATTTATATTATGAATTAGATGTCAAGATGGCCAATTCATTATAGGTGATGTTAATATTCTCTCTCTCCTCTACAGCATTTTGTCCATATCACATCGGGCACTTTACCATAGTTGGTTTTAAGCTTAAAGCATGGGTGTCTGCATCACACTTTGAGGGTCTACTGACAGCATTGTGTGGGTACTGTGTGGTTGGGTTATGCCTGGTGCTACTACATACACTGGCTGCAATTATCAGGCTTAACAGGTAAGTTGAGGGACATTCATAGTTTTTTCCTTGATATATTTTGAAGTGGCTAAAAAAAAATGAGATGTAAAAAGAAGTTTTAGTTGATGGATAGGTTTGCTAGATGATTCCTTGCTGGATTTTAAGATATCACTTCATGTTTATAATACAGGTTTCATATGTTTCCTCTTCTGTTTCAATAGTATTGTTAGACAGTGTTGGGATATCACTAAAAATCAATACTGAATGTACCACAAATGAGATGACTCATTTTATAAAGCTTGTTATGGGATTTTGCTTTCTGATTGGTGAAGATACACAGTATATCTTCATTGTACAGAAGTAAGCTCCCCAAAAAACAGGTATTTTCATAAAGTATTTTTTTTGTGCAAGATGAAAAGGTTTTGCTCATTGTTTGTCTTTCTCTTTTTACCCCGTAGGTCGAAGCGTGTCCTAGGTTTATGTTACGTTGTAGTTAAAGTTGCTCTGCTGAGTGTGGTGGAGATTGGGGTCTTCCCGCTGATAGGAGGCTGGTGGCTGGACATCTGTTCCCTCTCTCTCTTCGATGCAACGCTAAAGGTATGTACGTGGCTGGGGTGGTTATTTTAATTGTCTGGGTAAGATTTAGTTTGTAGTGAATGGAATACTGTTTTGCAGTGCGAGTTCTTAGGTAAATTCTGTGCTCATGAATGTCTTCAATGTTTGTTCATGAGAATTAATTGTGGAATTCTGGAAACTTTGAGAAGAACGCTCTTTTAATCTCAAAAGGACCGAGAGGTGAGCTTTAAGATGGCGCCAGGCACATCCATGTTCATCCATTGGCTGGTGGGGATGGTCTACGTCTTCTACTTTGCTTCCTTTATCCTCCTCCTCCGGGAAGTGCTGAGACCAGGTGTTCTGTGGTTCCTCAGGAATCTCAATGACCCAGACTTCAATCCTGTACAAGAGGTGAGTTAGTGTGCTTTTTCAGACAAACACAATGACTTGTATAGATTCTGATATGAAAAAGAAAAGGAAAAGGTATACTTTTCTCTTTGTAGCTGTCTTCTCTCCTTTCCTTTTTTCACATTTTGTATGTTTGACAGATTCTCTCATATTCTGCCTATATTGACCATTCATGCATTGTCTCTCCCTAGATGATCCACCTACCGATTGTGCGCCACACTCGACGCTTCCTGGCCTCCATGGTCATATTTGGTTCCACAGTGTTGTTGATGCTTTGGCTACCAATAAAGATCATTCATGGACTATGGCCCTCCTTTTTACCATATCATATTACACTCTCAAGGTAAGTCAGCAGAGATATGAGAGCACTTGAAAGAATATGAAGTAAGTGGAGAAAATATATAGATATTATAAGTCTTTTTTTATGAAATAGACGAGGAACATGATTTGTTTCGTTGTCAGTGATACCCCAGTGAGTGAGCTGTCGCTGGAGCTGCTGTTGCTCCAGGTGATACTCCCAGCACTGCTAGAACAAGGTCACACTCGAGTCTGGCTCAAGCTCTTGGTCAGACACTGGTGTGCCGCTGTGTCTCACATTCTTGGATTGAGATCGTACTTGCTTGGCGATGTGGCTCTTGATGCTCAGGTAGGAAACTGGTGAAAAGTTGATATGAACTTTATTTTCCCCAAAACTTTTCCATACATTAATGATTAGTTTTCCTAAATGAAGCAAAACTTGTATTATGTTTCCATTTATACTAAGGTGACTATATAGTAAATATTTACAAATATATATTCTATGCTCTATATGCATTTTGTTGCTGTAGGGAGGTGGTGTTGTGATTGGTGGGGACACAGTTGGAGCTGCTGGGGAAGGTGGTGCAGCTGGTGCGGCTGCCCCTCCAGTGGAAGTAGAGCAGGCTGATCCCGAGCTGGTGGAAGGCCTGGTGAACCCTGTTGTTGGAGGACCTGGAGGTGGAGATGCCCTTGGAGGAGGTCTTGGTGCAGCTCACCAGGCGTTGCTCCAGCGAGATGGGCCGACAGGTAAGATTTTTTTCTTCGGCTCTGGTGGTTGTATACAGATTTTTTTTTTACGCTCGGTTTAATTTTGTATGGGTGGGTTGGTTCAGGTATCATTGAGACCTAACTGGCACATTCTTTCCAGGTTTCCAGGCTTATGTACGGCCGAGATGGTTTGGTGTGCGTATCTTGGGCCTGGTGGTCATGATGTGTGTGAGCCTGACAGCAGCATCCATTATATGTTTGACGCTTCCAGTCTTAGTGGGTCGTCAGTGCATGTATCTTGCTCTTGGTGACACCAAAGTAAGTTGTTTGTGTTGGTGAACTTGCCATTTCTTTGATGTAGAAATGATTGCCATATATTATAGGCTGACTTTTAAACTTACTGAAATTGTCAAACAGGCATAACATTATATAAGATCTTCTTTATTCCATAGGTAAATACTGAAATAAAGGAATAGTAGGTTTACAGTATTGAAGGGATAGTATTACTGGTGTAATATGAACAGTATCTAATAGACTTTGATTTTCAAGGTTCATGAATTATACACCGGTGCATGTGGTTTGTACCTGTGTTTGCTCAGTATTCGAGGCATCACTCTCCTCATCTCCTGGATAATGCTGGGATGGTCCCAAGTCATCCTGCGCTTGAAGCAATGGGGCATCATGGTGAGTGTGTAATTAGGAAGAAAGTGAATATGGACCACTTTGTAGTTCGTATATTTATTAAACAACTTCTGTAGCTTTCATGACTGTATGTTTTGTTAGTGTTGCTAATAAACAATTTCCATTTCAGGGCACCAAGGCACTAGTGGCGCTAGTGGTCGTGGCGGTAATTGTGCCGTTGATGGTGGGCGTTCTCATGGAGTTGGTCATCGTTATACCTCTGAGAGTTCCCCTCCATCAGACGCCCATCATCTTCCTCTGGCAGGTGAGTTGTGTGTGGAGGTGCTTTTTATATGCATTTATATATAAATTGTATAATACTGCCGTCTGCCCACATCATCATGCAAAGTGTATAGTTCTCCCATCTCTATGAGCACAAAAAACAACAGGTACCTGGATGGGCAGTGACTACTATACCTGGTGTTGGAAATGTGGAATAATCCTCTTTGAATTTGTTGCAGGTTTTATCATTGATACATGTTTTTCTGATTTTGTTTTATCTTTAACTTTGGGAAGTTTAATTTTTAGGAGATTCAACTTGTTTTGTAAATATGTACTATGTAGCTATATCAGTGCAAATGTGTGAATAGTACATTAATATTTATAAGATTGTGTAGTTTAACTGATTGGATATTTAGTATTTTGGATATTTAGTGCATGTTGTTTGTTTACTCAAGAATCTGATGTGTGATGTACACTTTTGTCAAGCCATTTTTCATTTCTTCTAATAGGACTGGGCCCTTGGCGTCCTGTACACAAAAATCATGTGTGCACTGGTCATGATGGGTCCAAACTGGTGGCTCAAGACAAATCTGGAACATATCTACTTGGGTGGAGTGCGTGGTCTGGACCTGAACCTCCTTGTGGGCCAGACGGCACTTCCAGTTATTGCAAGCCTTGGTGCCTGTCTCACCATTCCCTATGTCACAGCACACACCCTAGCCCCTCTCTTTGTACCCCCTAGTGCACTGGTAAGTCCATTTGCTGCTGCTGTTGTAATGTTATGATCATGGTAATAAATATTTTTGTTTTGTTTTAGATATAACTATTGGTGCCACATAGGTGGTATATGTTTTGAAAATTAGTTTTATCAAGATCCATTTTGACATGAATATGAGAGTCATTGTCATTGTGATGAAGTGTCTGAACTTCATCACTGAACAACTAGCGGGAAGTACATTGTGTTTGTTTGACAGGTCCTGGTGGAGCGTCGCATATATCCTGCACTGTTGATCATAACACTGCTGTCTACTCTCATCATCATGCAAGTTGTACAGTTTACCCGTCTCTATGAACACATAAAAAATGATAAGTACCTGGTTGGGCGGCGACTCGTGAACTACGACCACACAAGCACTCAGACCTCCTCCCCAAGGCTCGAAAGCGAGATCACCCCATTTGTCAGGTGAAGGCGACGGGAGGAGGAGGTAGACGCCCTAAGTATGCCTGTGAGTGGAAGTTCTATATTTTGTCTAGGTGTGGTACCTGGCGCTTCAGAAGAGCAAGAAGAAGAGGAGGAGAAAGTTACACAAAAGAAAGAAATAGAGTTCTGGTCTGATTGTGTAATGATTTATTGTTATTATTATCATCATCATTATAATTATTATTATTATTAATCTTTGTAAATATATTCTCATGGTCTGAGTAAGTCATTTAGGTACCTTGTCTCATACTTCAAAACCCAAGTATTCAGTGTGTAATATTTGTCTGAGGCGAGATGCATGTACCCTCCAGGAAGTATGTGGGTTAGGCTTTCCTGGGTAGATGAGCGTTAGTTTGTCTGATGGAAATTTAACGACGGGTAGGGAAGATTTATGGTAAGTAAAAAGGACGCTTATGTTTATATATTATTTCGCATACAATAACTTTGAAGGGATTTTAGTTACTGTCTAGATTGCATATGATATTCCTTTATGTGTATGATATACAGTAAAAACTATTATCACATGAAATAGATATATGTATTTTAAATAAAAGAAAGGGATGGGGAATGTATTCTTGGGTGGGAGAATATAGACTTTTTGTTATTATTATTATTTTGAAGCATTGGAAATGTATTTATTTTCAAAGACTATATGAAAACTGTTTTATATGTAAATAATATTTAATAAATGGACATTACATGCAATGCACAAAACTAAAAGGATAGTTTGTGAGGCCTTCTTGTATTTATTAAATTAGTCACAAAAAGAGAGAAAAAAAAAAACTACACAAGTGTAATGTTTCACAGTGTGAGTAATAACACTTTTTTGTGATGTAAGTTTAAGAAGAAAGAGTAATTATTTTGCTGGTACATGATTGCATTATGCATTTGAGTATGGATATAAAACTGATACTAGCAGAGAGAGACGGATGTTTTCAGTTGACACGCTGACGTTATGTTGTCATGATCCATTGCTTGAAGTATGTGCAACTAATCTGTGATGCAAAGAGCATTTAGTCATTATTATTATATTTCTCTTTTTTCTCACTCTTTTAACAGATGATAAAGAGGAGGTTCACATATTATGCCAGAGAAGTGATAGCATGTTTTTACTGTATTGATACAGCAGTCAGTTATTACCTCAGTGCTATGAGGTGTATATATATATATATGTAAAGTTTGCAATAAAGGCTCTTCAGGCAATTTTTTGTACTTGTCTTGTGATACATGAATGGTTTGCTTCCTTTCATGATTTTGATAATTATAGTAGTGTTTCTGTGAAAAGAAACTTGCAAATGTATTTATCAATTTCCAAGTAAGAAATTACTTTCATTTTGCATTTTACAATTAGAATTTTTTTTCTCAAAATTAATATATGCAGCAGCAGTCTTAAGCAGAAATTACTTAAACGTAGCGTTACTTAACTTTCTGAATATTACTGGTTTGGTTTATCTGTACCTTCATCTAAGTGGTGATTGAACAGATGCTGATATAGTTTGTGTGGGTTTACAATGTACAGCAAGAAGTTTGTGTTATGCAAAGAGTTGAGTATCACACTCGGTAAAGAAATTTTATTGCAATATTTTTAACAAGATCACACGTGAATGTTACCTGATGACCAAAGGGTGTGTGCTTTGGGTTCTACTGTGCTGGAGGTTATGGCTCTTTGAGAATTGTAAAATAGTTGTCCAATCATTATAACATCGACAGATACAAGTGTGGACCTCTCGGTTTTTGTTTAGGTCAGTATGATGCGTTTTTTTTTAAAGTTTACAGAAAAGCTGATCGTGTTTCTTTAAATTGTTAGTTGTGTACAAGGAGTTGCCTAAGACAATGGCTGGAATAGGAAGTCGATTTGAGGACGAATATATGAGTATCTATGGCAGATCAATACCAATGGATCGTCAGGTGCACAAGGAATGATTTCACCAACTACATTGTGTACAGGTAGTTACTTCCTTCTTATCCAGAGAAGTGCATGTAGTGTGTGTGTCCGTTTCTCTCTTGGAGTTACTATTTGCACAGTTTTCTCCTGGGTAAGACTCATGGCAGACCGAATAAAAATGCAGGAAAGTATATATTCTACAATTTACTGGTATGCATCTCGCTGTGTAGTCTTTTCTTTGCCAACTAGAAGAAAGAAAACGAAAGAACAAAAAAAAAAAGTAATAATAAAAATTGTAGTGAGGAAAAAGTTTTAAATAACATAGTCTAAATAATGTAGTCTGTTTCTATTTTGCATTCAAAACAAGAAGGAAGGTCACCTCTCAGAACCCAGTTTGGTTAGTTAATTTATAGTTGGTCAGTGAAAATGCAAGCGGGGAAAAAAAAAGGTGTGTGTGCATACGTTACTAATTTCCCTCTCATAACGTAATGTATTATTTTTTCACCAGCATGTACAGTTTCAGATGTAAATATCATTATATCATCTGCCTGGTGTGGAAGAATGTATAAAAGGAGATTTTTTCTTTATCAAATAAATGTTCACAATTTTAAAGGTGTTTTACTGGTTCCTTGAATTTTAACCCATTGTCGATGGGGAAAATGCTGTGCTCATTTTTAATATTTTTTGTGAAATGTCTCTACACATAGATGGCTCTGCCTTACCTGATTTCACCTTTCCTTGAATTAGTGGGAAATGTATTTTTTACTAGTGCTATGAATATCAATATTTTTATTATAAACATTATAATTACTATGTTATAAACATCAGTAATAGCAAAATAAGATAATGTAAAACATTTTTGAAAATTAGAGAAAAGGGTGAACGGGCGAGACAGGCAGTACTCGTGATTAGCTCATTGGTGGCTTAGTACAAGTGTAGCCATCTGTCTGTAAAAACAATTAAATAAGTAAACTCATAGTGGGCATGGCATGCCTGTCGGCAATGGGTTAATAATGTAGATTATGGGTCTATATTTAGATCTAGGCTAAACATGGTTGATAAATACATACTTTATTTTGCAAAGGCTTTGTGATAGGAAAGTCAAGCTTATCAGTCTTCTTATGTACTCTTTATTAGCACTTCACAAAATTATAAAACCTTGCATATAATTACAATAGCGAAGATATATACATACATCAAACAAATTATTGCAAGGTAATATTTAAAATTAGTATTTAAAAACTAGCTACATCGCTCAATTATTCAATGTCCTTCATAGGGCTCGAAGTAATTAATTCCTTCCAAAAAATAATAATTAAGGACTATCAGACCCCGAAACAAAATCACGTTTGATATGCTAAAAAAACGGAATTGTATGTTTTAATTAGATTAATATAGAAATATGGCCTCTCCAATAACCGTCGATTGCATAACATTCTGTAATTGCAAGTAATAGAAAATGGATATACAGTTCACCATTTTTGAACGAGGACCCATATAATCATCAGAATAAATTGTTACTAATAAATGTTTATACATTCGACAGCATTATTAGCACTTTAGAAAATATGCATATAAAACAGTATAGCTAGCACTCTTAAAAATCTTTTATAATTACGAAACCATCGTTTTATAGAAATTAAAAGGGAAATAGCTCAAGTAGAAACTCGAGTTTGTTTTTGTACAATGAAGAAAAAATCCACAACAATCTAACCAGACAGAGACTCGATTCCTGAATCTTTCGTCCTGTCTGCAAAGTGACCATAGGAAATGTCTGAAATCTTCGTCACACTGGCCTGCTGCGTGCTCTTAGACAAACGACGGACCTGAGCACGCGAACGGTGCATGGAAATGTTCTCCATGCGGCGGACTGCCCTGCCAAAGGCGTCAGGACTCTCCATGCTCACCACTGGGTTCTGGACTTTCGTCTCGTTCTGGCGCCTCCTCAGGGAGTATCTTGAGGTCGCCCATCCACCCGACTCCTCGAACTGAAAAGTCAATTTCGTGTTAAGGAGATTTATTGTATTAACAGGTGTATCGATGACAGCGGGAGGGCAGTGATTCATTTTAGCGAAGAAACTTATCAACAGAAAATAAACATGTAAGGTAATGTTACATACAACTTGACCCATGCAAAGCACTCCAGTAGTTAAAGTGGTTTACTAACAATACATATAAACCCAACGCTAAAAATAAACACCAGTTCACCAAAGAATTCAAGACAATACTAACATCATAATCATCAAGTAACTGGTCTTCGATACCCGAGACATCACTGGGCTCATACGTGTCGTCAGAAGAAGCACTATCATTTAGGACCTGAGACAGACTAGCCAGTGCCGTGCTGGTTAGTTCCAAGGCTCCTGCTGAGGAAAGAGAATACGTCGTTTAAGAATCAACATCATTGCTGCTCTTGGGAAATAAAAATGTATAGATGATACCCTCAAACACGAGTGTCAGTGATTCTATGAAGGATCTATACATAAAGGGGATAAAGATATTAGTCAATATTAGGATAATAACTCAAAGGAAAGGGAGCTAATGACCCGAGACCCTTATCTTTTGAGAGAGGAGAGGTCCTGCACATAATATACAGACTCAACTATTCTGATCGAGTTTTTAAAACAAGAAATTCATACTAGCTATGAGGTCAGCACAAAAAAAACTAACTGGGAATATACCATATTCCAAAATTCGTATAGCCAAACACCCTGTTGTTTTCTGAACTGCCCACCGACGCCCCTGCTAAAATGTAAAGCATCATACCTGGTGTATTATTCATCAGCTTCTTGATTTCACTCGTGGCTGACGCAAGCTCTTCCAGACGCGCTGCTGTGACTGCAACGGGGTCTCTGGCATGTATGAAAAATTAGGTCTTAATATCGGAGAGTTTGTGGATACAGATCGAGGAAGAGATGATATACATACATGCGAAAGAATAGTTTCCCAATCCAAGATGGTTAATGGTTAGTGGCTAAAACAAATGAATGTGCTTGACATCAAAGGCTATACAACACTATGGTAAAGTATTGTGGAAAAAAGGATAAAAAAATACATAATAATTAGGACAAAATTTGTTAGATATCAAAGGTGACAGTGTTATAGAACAGTATAGCAGCGAAAAGGGTAAAGTGGGGAAGCAAATGGAGTAAGACGGGGATTAGTAAAAGGGGGAAGGGGGTTAAGGCCGATCATATCAAATGGAGAGCATTTATACATCTAAGGAAGGAAGAGGAACAGTGCAAAAAGAGCCATTATGAAGCAATTAATGGCTAATACGGGGTAGAGATGGATGTCGGAGAAATAGAAGACTCAGGGGAATGAGACAAGGGAACAGAGGAAGGAGGTTAAGTATAAGAAACAATGTAAGAAGGGGGAAGTATCCGGGCCAGGACACTGCTGTAACAAAAGGGAGTCACTTCAGCATCCAGGAGGGAGCGGGAGAGATAACAGGGGAAAAAGGGGGTGGTGAAAAGAGGTGGGGGGTGGGGGGGCATAAGGAGGATGAGGATGGATGTCGGCACTTGCTTTCAATGCAGAGGGAATGGAGTAAAGGGAGTGGAGGATGAGATGAGAGAGAATGACAGTGGATGAGAGAGAGAAGCGTTCTCGTGGGTCATGTCTAAGAAGTTTTGGATGTCTGGAGGGGACTTGAGTGAGGGTCTAAGGAACGAAGGCTTTGTTAGCAAGAGGAGGCATGTCCGAGTATCAGAGGAAGAAGTGGGTGTAGGAGAGAAGGTGATAGAGAAGACAGGTGAGACGTTTAGATTGCCTGATGCAACAGGTAAAGTGAGGAGGGGTAGGGTACCGGGAAGTGGTAGAGATTGTAATATTTGGATTTAGAATGCCAAATGAATTTATTGGGGGTTGGGTGGTAAAGGGTGGGGGGAAAGATAGAGGGTTGGGGATGCTTAGACATCTTGAGAAAAAGGGAGAGGAGCGGAGCGAGGGACATCGTTGGAATAGGTAGCGAGAGAAAACCCTCGTCGGCGTGCTTCCTGCCTGGCCTCGCGGAAAGTGAGGCATAGTTCGAGTCTGAAAATTGCAACCTCTGACTCGAACTTATAGGCAGGGCATCTATAAAACAGATCATGGAATCCATCACAAGAGGTACACGTGTGAGACTGAGTAGAGCAATCTTAACGTTCGTGACAAGGTTGGGTACATAGAGAGCAGCGGGCTGTGGGGCGACAGTGTTTGGCAGGACGGCCAAAACGCCATTTCAGACATTCACAGGGAATGGGTCGATATGGTCGGATAGGGCAAGGCCAATATAAACTTTATGGAGAAGGTCATGTCTAAGGAAGCTTATCTTGGCAATACTGGTGTAGGACTTACACTGGCCTCCGGGGGAATAGCATTGTACTGATATTGCATCATAATCAACGTGGCAGGCAAGCAAGTCGTTCTCACAGTCTGGCCAGTCCTTGTCGCAGACAGGGCAATCAACCGGGGAGATGGTATAAATATTAAGAGGAGTGAGGTTGGGTAGGAATAGTTTGCCAATGAGATCAGTCCGGGTTGATAATGTACGAGCTTGGGTTTCAGATATAACGGTCAAAGCGAGAACGGAGGCCAGCCAGGCCGGACACAAAACCAGCCTTTCGTCCTTTCGCCGCGGCTCTCACATCTTAGGAAGTGGACAGACGAAGGGGTTGGAGAAGAAAAGGAAAACAAGAGTGAGAAAAAAAGACCATGCAAACTGTTAAACCAATGGTTAAGGCCTCAGCTTCTACGCCTCCCCCCCCACCCCCAAGGTAACATGGGACTGGGGGGGGGGGGGGCATTCGAGAATGGGATATATACACACACACATAGAAATGAATAATTTCAGAAGGAAAGATATGTAACTAATATATTACACGCCCACCTAACAAAGATTTATCACAGAAACGTCAATTACACATGTGTCATTTGGGAAATAATTCTCACTCAGAACCCTTTCTAATTTTGTGACATTGGTCTTTATTTCCTTGATTCAGTCTAGGTTCTTCATATGGTAAACTAGCATTATAAAAAGAGTCCTTCACTTCATCATAAAGTTAAAATACAACTACATGCAAACAATAAGCACACAACACAAAGAAAATGAAAGGAATCATACAACAAATCCAAAATAACTCACATCAACAGGAAAACACACTATACAAATAATAGCCTTATTAATATACAATTACGAATCGCCACAACTAACCTGTAGGAGAGCACGGCGCGGATGAGGGAGAGGAAACAGACAAGCACACAGCTTCGCCGAATACCCCAGACAGCCGTGTGGACTTCGATCTACAATATATACACATATGTCTTCCTATTAGGGTTGATGAATAGAGTCCAGTATAATTATATTTTTCTTATAGATCTACGAGTATATTTTCTTTAATGTCTGATGTATAGTTCGATTATATTTTTACATTTGTTATAGTTCTACGAGTATACTCTCTGTAATGTTTGAAATTTCAGCAATATCAGAAGGTATATATATATATTTTCAGTATTTTAAATGAAATGAGAATAAGCAACGTAGTTTAGGAGCCTCGTCTGGTCAGGGAACAGGGTCGGGTTTCTAGGGAGAAATTGTCCCGAGCCCCCAGAGGAACCCTCAGGCTAAGGGCATACTTGGTTAGAAAAAAAAAAAACTATTTTTATTATCACCAAAATGAATTAACAAAAGGGGGGGGGGGGGGCAGAAAAGAGTAGCCCCCTCTGAATAACTTTATAAACTGGTAACAATAAAAGTACCGAGACAAATATAAAACAGCGTTAATGTCGAAATTATATTTGTAAATGGATCTGTAATACTATACTGATGCAAAAATGTAGGTAAGGTAACTGATATTTAGCAACACCTATGTAATACAAGATTAGTATATCACTACGGTCAATACTACAAACTAAGAATTGTAGTCAGTCTTACAATCAATTAAATTAAGAAAAGGGGTTTAATCGTCAGCTAACATTATTTTCGAAGAAATACGGTTTATTGTTAACTTTAATTCATATCTATTTTAAATATTTAATTTTCATATTGAGGGTCCCCGAACCTAAGGTGCCTCCCCCCCAAGGTCAAAGTCCGGCCCTGTTGGAAGGAGTTGAAAAAATGTTAATGCACAGTGCCAAACAGAATATAGAACATTCTCCGGATTTTGATTTTTCCCGCTCGATTCCTGAATACAATATTACCCAATACAACACGAAATAAGTGTTTTGCACAGTTACATTCTCACAAACTTACACAACGAAAAAGAAATTCCCTCTCACAAACTTACACAACGAAAAAGAAATTCCCTCTCACAAACTTACACAACGAAAAAGAAATTCCCTCTCACAAACTTACACAACGAAAAAGAAATTCCCTCTCACAAACTTACACAACGATAAAGAAATTCCCTCTCACAAACTTACACAACGATAAAGAAATTCCCTCTCACAAACTTACACAACGATAAAGAAATTCCCTCTCACAAACTTACACAACGATAAAGAAATTCCCTCTCACAAACTTACACAACGATAAAGAAATTCCCTCTCACAAACTTACACAACGATAAAGAAATTCCCTCTCACAAACTTACACAACGATAAAGAAATTCCCTCTCACAAACTTACACAACGATAAAGAAATTCCCTCTCACAAACTTACACAACGATAAAGAAATTCCCTCTCACAAACTTACACAACGATAAAGAAATTCCTCTCACAAACTTACACAACGATAAAGAAATTCCCTCTCACAAACTTACACAACGATAAAGAAATTCCCTCTCACAAACTTACACAACGATAAAGAAATTCCCTCTCACAAACTTACACAACGATAAAGAAATTCCCTCTCACAAACTTACACAACGATAAAGAAATTCCCTCTCACAAACTTACACAACGATAAAGAAATTCCCTCTCACAAACTTACACAACGATAAAGAAATTCCCTCTCACAAACTTACACAACGATAAAGAAATTCCCTCTCACAAACTTACACAACGATAAAGAAATTCCCTCTCACAAACTTACACAACGATAAAGAAATTCCCTCTCACAAACTTACACAACGATAAAGAAATTCCCTCTCACAAACTTACACAACGAAAAAGAATTCCCTCTCACAAACTACACAACGATAAAGAATTCCCTCTCACAAACTACACAACGATAAAGAATTCCCTCTCACAACTTACACAACGATAAAGAAATTCCCTCTCACAAACTACACAACGATAAAGAAATTCCCTCTCACAAACTACACAACGATAAAGAATTCCCTCTCACAAACTTACACAACGAAAAAGAAATTCCCTCTCACAACTTACACAACGAAAAAGAAATTCCCTCTCACAACTTACACAACGATAAAGAATTCCCTCTCACAACTTACACAACGAAAAAGAATTCCCTCTCACAACTTACACAACGATAAAGAATTCCCTCTCACAAACTACACAACGATAAAGAATTCCCTCTCACAACTTACACAACGATAAAGAATTCCCTCTCACAACTTACACAACGATAAAGAAATTCCCTCTCACAACTTACACAACGAAAAAGAATTCCCTCTCACAACTTACACAACGATAAAGAATTCCCTCTCACAAACTTACACAACGATAAAGAAATTCCCTCTCACAAACTTACACAACGATAAAGAATTCCCTCTCACAAACTTACACAACGATAAAGAATTCCCTCTCACAACTTACACAACGAAAAAGAATTCCCTCTCACAACTTACACAACGATAAAGAATTCCCTCTCACAAACTACACAACGATAAAGAATTCCCTCTCACAACTTACACAACGATAAAGAATTCCCTCTCACAAACTTACACAACGAAAAAGAAATTCCTCTCACAAACTTACACAACGAAAAAGAATTCCCTCTCACAACTTACACAACGAAAAAGAAATTCCCTCTCACAACTTACACAACGAAAAAGAAATTCCCTCTCACAAACTTACACAACGATAAAGAATTCCCTCTCACAAACTACACAACGATAAAGAATTCCCTCTCACAAACTACACAACGATAAAGAATTCCCTCTCACAAACTACACAACGATAAAGAATTCCCTCTCACAAACTTACACAACGATAAAGAATTCCCTCTCACAAACTACACAACGATAAAGAATTCCCTCTCACAAACTACACAACGATAAAGAAATTCCCTCTCACAACTTACACAACGAAAAAGAATTCCCTCTCACAACTTACACAACGATAAAGAATTCCCTCTCACAAACTACACAACGATAAAGAATTCCCTCTCACAACTTACACAACGATAAAGAATTCCCTCTCACAACTTACACAACGAAAAAGAATTCCCTCTCACAAACTTACACAACGAAAAAGAAATTCCCTCTCACAAACTTACACAACGATAAAGAAATTCCCTCTCACAACTTACACAACGATAAAGAATTCCCTCTCACAACTTACACAACGATAAAGAATTCCCTCTCACAACTTACACAACGAAAAAGAAATTCCCTCTCACAACTTACACAACGATAAAGAAATTCCCTCTCACAAACTACACAACGATAAAGAATTCCCTCTCACAACTTACACAACGATAAAGAAATTCCCTCTCACAAACTACACAACGATAAAGAAATTCCCTCTCACAAACTACACAACGATAAAGAATTCCCTCTCACAACTTACACAACGATAAAGAAATTCCCTCTCACAACTTACACAACGATAAAGAATTCCCTCTCACAACTTACACAACGATAAAGAAATTCCCTCTCACAACTTACACAACGAAAAAGAATTCCCTCTCACAACTTACACAACGATAAAGAATTCCCTCTCACAACTTACACAACGAAAAAGAAATTCCTCTCACAAACTTACACAACGAAAAAGAAATTCCCCCTCTCACACACATCCATAACGAAAAAGAAATTCCCTCTCACAAACTTACACAACGAAAAAGAAATTCCCTCTCACAAACTTACACAACGAAAAAGAAATTCCCTCTCACAAACTTACACAACGAAAAAGAAATTCCCTCTCACAAACTTACACAACGAAAAAGAAATTCCCTCTCACAAACTTACACAACGAAAAAGAAATTCCCCTCTCACAAACTTACACAACGAAAAAGAAATTCCCTCTCACAAACTTACACAACGATAAAGAAATTCCCTCTCACAAACTTACACAACGATTAAAGAAAATTCCCTCTCACAAACTTACACAACGATAAAGAAATTCCCTCTCACAACTTACACAACGATAAAGAAATTCCCTCTCACAAACTTACACAACGATAAAGAAATTCCCTCTCACAAACTTACACAACGATAAAGAAATTCCCTCTCACAAACTTACACAACGATAAAGAAATTCCCTCTCACAAACTTACACAACGAAAAAGAAATTCCCTCTCACAAACTTACACAACGATAAAGAAATTCCCTCTCACAAACTTACACAACGATAAAGAAATTCCCTCTCACAAACTTACACAACGATAAAGAAATTCCCTCTCACAAACTTACACAACGAAAAAGAAATTCCCTCTCACAAACTTACACAACGATAAAGAAATTCCCTCTCACAAACTTACACAACGATAAAGAAATTCCCTCTCACAAACTTACACAACGATAAAGAAATTCCCTCTCACAAACTTACACAACGATAAAGAAATTCCCTCTCACAAACTTACACAACGATAAAGAAATTCCTTCTCACAAACTTACACAACGATAAAGAAATCCCCCCCTCCCCCCTCCCTCCCTCCCTCCCCCTCCCTCTCCCACTCACACTCACACACACAACGGTAAAGGAATTCCCTCTCTCTCTCACACATACATAACGATAAAGAAATCCCCTCTTACACACTTGTATAAAACTCACTCTCTCAACATAACGTATACAACAATTTACTTTCAACACGATCACCCTTACCTGGAACGAGTCGATGTGCGTGTTGGCGAGCAGCCAGGCAGTCACAGCTCGTTCCAGAGTGAGGGAAAAGGCGAGGATAGTGAGGAGAGGCAGACGGGCACTCGCTGTCCTCGGGGTACAGGTGGCGACGAGCGTTACGAGGACACCGCTCACGTAGAACACAACCTGGGGACGAGACGGAGATGAAAATTGTGAATGGAGACGAATTGTGTTCATTTGAAGCGGCTGCGAACTGAAATCGGTTGTGTTCGAAGTGGTTTTGAAGTGAAACCGATTGTTTAATGTGATTATGAATTTAATCCGATTCTTAATAGGATTTCATCATTATCTTTTGTCATTCACTTGAAAAAAGCAGGGTTTGTTTTATAGAGCTTTGCGATTGAGAACTACAAGCTAAGCACGATAAAAAGAAAAACAAAAAATATAGCCAAGGCATACAGAAATGGCGGAAAATCATCTAGGATTTAGTGAAAGCCAATTAACACCACCTGGCCAACACCTCTAAAAAAAACCTTTACTACAATACTCACAGAATAAAACCACGTAAACTCCCCCATAACGAGCGACTGGAGTTGAGACACGCGGTCGAAAACGTCGACTATGAGACCGCGCTGTTCAGCCGTTGTTTCCCTGTAAAGATAGATCGTCTTTTCAATAAAGTTAATTGTGGTTTAATGAATCGAGATGTAATGGATGTTCAGTGTTTATGGTGATGATGAATGTGTATGAACTAACTGGCGTAAGGTAGTCTATGTACGAAATTCTTGGAAAAAGAAGAAAAGATAGATATATATATATATATATATATATATATATATATATATATATATATATATAAAGCCAAACACAACTTATAGGGATTACTATATTAATGAAGAAAAAAGGGCCATTAGAGAAAAATAACATTAAAATTATATAAAAGAAAGACTCTTCAACAATAACACCAATTACTAATAAAATAATAATGAATAACCAAGTGTATTAAATCAAATGAAATTAGGTTCTCACAAAGAATATTAAATTACATTAAATTTAATCAATCACAAACTAAATGATAATAACGAATACATAAATTCATAAAAAAAAATCACCACCAGAATAACAATAACGAACCACAACATTAAAAAAAACAAAAAACAAGCAATAACACCAATTACCTGAATTCGGCAAAAACGCCCTTAATTGCATCTCTGGACGCCACCATCTGGCTGTCCAGCTGGTTGCGCAGAGCGGTTGCCGAGTCCACCGCCCGACTCAGCTGGGAACTCACATCCTCAGAGGCAGTTCTGAGACTTTAAAAGAAAAAGAAAATGTAAGCTTTTCGTTGGAGAAATGGGAGATTTGGTTTGGTGTGGACGAGGGAACTGGGGTTCATGTCTTGGTTTTGTTAATGCGAGTTTTTGTTCTGGTCAGAGGTAAGGAATATTTAAGTATTTTTTACATTGCGATTCGCCACCGGTAAGAATTTACAAAGGAAACTCACTCACTCTCTCTCTCCCCCTCTCTCTTACTCCTACTCTGCCTCTGCCTCTGCATCTCCCTCTTACTCCTCTCCCTCTCCCTCTTACTACTCCTCCTCCTCTTCCCCTTCCTCTCACTCTTAGTCGTCCTCCTCTCCCTCCTACTCTTCCCCTTCCTCTCCCTCTTATTCCTTCTCCCTTTCTTTCATCTTCCCTTTCTTTCTCTATCTCTCCCTTTCTTTCTCTATCTCTCTCCCCCTTCTTTCCTCCCTCCCTCTCTCTTGAAACCGCCACCCCAAAAATACACCATACTTGTCAATAGCACTGGACGTCGACTGGTGCCACGCCTGAGCCTGGAGGAAATGGCACATGGCGAGGGTGTTAGTGAGCATGGAGGAGTAGATGGAGGCGGCCCTTGCGTCCAGCCCCTCCATGCACTTGCTCAGCTGCTGGTCGTCCCGGCAAGGGTACACGGGCCAGCCGAACCGCATCATGTAGCAGTTGGTGAAGGACAGGGCCAGTCTGCTCTGTACCTGGGAGGAGGATGTGTGGAGTTTTTATTGTTATTATTCTAGTATTATCTATTTTTTATTATTTTATTAATATTTACGTTATTATCAATATATATTTGTATTTTTATTTATTTATTCATTTATTTATATATTATTATTATTATTGGTTATCATTGTCATTATTATTTTCTTATTTTTATTGTTTTAGTTTATTTTTACTATTATCATCTATTATTACTATTATTATTTATTATTACTATTATTATTTGTTTTTTACTATTATCATTTATTTCTACTATCATTATCTATTTTTACTATTATCATCCACTATTATTACGTATTTTTACTATTATTCTTTATTTATATTATTATCTTAAAACTTTTTACCGTTCTTATTGGTAATGCCAGCGTAATGCATCAGAAAAAGGACGATTAACAAAAACATATAATCTAAAACTCCCAATGATAATCATCGTCAACATTAACCCTATTATTGTTTCAAATAACCATTAGTGAAGATAATTGTGTTCAACTTACAGACTACCCCTACGACGACATTATTAATGATCATGATGATAAACACACGACCAGTAGCAATATCAACGACTTACTATGATAAGAACGAAAATATTACCAGATCCAATAAATATGAAAAAGATCTTAAGCATTATAAAACTTACCTCGTCGTCAAGGTTGCTACAGCCATTGTGCAGATCCTCTAAGGCGTTCTGGTAGCAATCGCCATACCTAGAACAATTAACGATTTAACAGCTGACATTATCATTATTTTTCAGTTTATCATTTCAGAGGGGAATACTATATCTAATGTAATTATTATATCCAGTATTACATATATAACTATTGGGACGTCATAAGGAAGTATA